ATCCCACCCCAGGCACATGACTCAGTATATAAGACTAAAACATGACCTGGGGGTCATGCAGAGTTTGGTCATCTTGCAGGTCAATATTTTCACCAAGTCACCTTATTGTGTAATGCTGTATGAGTTTCTGCATGGGACTGTCACAGTGCGTCACTGTCTTTCTCACCAAGTCCAAATTCCAGTGTGGTGTGAGTCAATGTTATCTGATGGGTTGGGTCTGGGGATATAAAAGACCAAGATCCGTCTACTGCTCACAGTACCAGCAGGCTCCTGTACCATATCTTCTTCCTTCGTCTGCTCCCATCGTCCATCGCACACCATGTGTACCGGAAAATGCTCCAAGTTCATCGGGATTGCTCTCTACCCCTTAGTTGTTATCTCCCTCGTTGCCAACATAATCCAATTCTTCCCGGGATGGGAGACTGAGCCCATTACCAATCCATCGGAACACATGACACCAGAAGTTGTTTTTATGGGCGGAATCATTGGAAGTGGAATACTGGTAATAGTATTATTCTATATTATAATCTGTGCTTATAACTAACAAATATTTAAAGGGTTGGGGTTAGCGGATGGGAGAATGACCCAATCAGAAACCCATCGGAACAGATGACACCAGAAGTTCTATACATAGGCGGAATCATTGGAAGTGGAATGCTGGTAACAGTATTTTTCCATTAAAATTTGTGTTCATAACTAACAAATATTTAAAGGTTTAGACCACTAGAAGGGTTGGGGTTAAGGAATGGTAGAATGACCCATCAGCAACCCATCGGAACAGATGACACCAGAAGTTCTATACCTAGGTGGAATCATTGGAAGTGGAATGCTGGTAACAGTATTTTTCCATTAAAATCTGTGCTCATAACTAACGAATATTTAAAGGTTTAGACCACTAAAAGGGTTGGGGTTAAGGAATGGTAGAATGACCCATCAGCAACCCATCGGAACAGATGACACCAGAAGTTCTATACCTAGGTGGAATCATTGGAAGTGGAATGCTGGTAACAGTATTTTTCCATTAAAATCTGTGCTCATAACTAACGAATATTTAAAGGTTTAGACCACCAAAAGGGTTGGGGTTAAGGAATGGTAGAATGACCTAATCAGCAACCCATCGGAACAGATGACACCAGAAGTTCTATACATAGGCGGAATCATTGGAAGTGGAATGCTGGTAACAGTATTTTTCCATTAAAATCTGTGCTCATAACTAACAAATATTTAAAGGTTTAGACCACCAAAAGGGTTGGGGTTAAGGAATGGTAGAATGACCCATCAGCAACCCATTGGAACAGATGACACCAGAAGTCCTATACATTAGAAATTAAATACAGGTAATAGTACTATTCTGCATTATAATCTGTACTCATAACTAATACATATTTAAAGGGTTGACCACCAGAAGCTGATATTTTAATGGTTGGTGGCTGCTGATAAACTGGGCTTCCAACTGGTTTTAAATTTAGTAGTCTTAATAACTCTGACTACTTTGGGGTCTAATAACTAGGAACACATATAGACTTGCATTCCTGGTCTTCCAATGCAACTTTAACAAACCTTCTCATGGCATGGTTCATTGCGCATGAGAACATACTGAGTGGTTAATTTCAGAGACTGAAAAAAATGTTTTTCTACTACAAGAGATCGATGGTAAACTGATTGGAGATTGGTTTTCGGAGATTAATAATGGATAAAATCGCCCAAGAATTTCCTGCAATGGTTGAGCAATTAACCTCCTGCTCCCTTTGAAATCTATGGATGAGAAGTCAGGAGATTAATTGATAATAGTTCCTGCTACATGATTAAATTAAGGTTTTCTGCAAATGTTGGAGATCAGTTGTGGCATTGTGTAGTTGTGGGAGATCAAATGTGGCATTTTGCAATCTTGGGATATTGATCCCTTACTCACACTACTGAACATTTATTATGTAATAGTTTACATTAAAAACGTGGTACAAAGAAAGAGATTGATATCTTGAGATTTTAATAGTGTGACTGAGCAACCAGAACTTGCCTGTGTAACCCTCATGTAAAGGCAATGAGACCTGTTATAATGTCTTCCACTGGTGGATAGGGCTGGCTATTCTGGTGTAAATATATCTCTATCGGACCTCCTGAGAGATCCAAGTGATTAAACAATCTGATGCGTATCCAAAACTGAAATATCAGTTTTAAGTAGAGCCACCCTCAAATACTCTTACTTTTTTTTTCTGATAGGTCTTGATTCCAGCTATCCACATTCAGGCGACAGGACGAGAAAAAGGATGTTGCAATAACAGATGTGGGGTAAGATTTTGACTGTATGTTATATAGATATAAACTATATGGCCATCATTTGTGGATGCCTGACCATCATACCTACATGAGTTTGTTGCACATCCCATTCCAAAACCATCAGCTGCCTTCATTTTGTGGTCCAGTCCTCTAGAAAGACTTTCCACAAGATTTCAGAGTGTGTCTGCAGAAATTTGTGACAATTAGGCCAAATGAACCTTAGTGAAGTCAAGTATTAATGATGGATGAGAAGTCCTGGCTCACAAACCATGTTCCAGTTTCTAAAGTTGTTCAGTAGGGTTAAGGTCAGGGCTCTATGAAGGCCACTGAAGTTCCTTAACACCAGACTTCTCCAACCATATCTTTATGGAGCTGGCCTTGTACACGGGGCACAGTCATGTAGGAACAGAAGAAAGGCCTTCGCCAAACTGCTACTACAAGGTTGGCACAATTGTTTAAAATGTCTTTATATGTGGTAGTTATAACCCTAGAAACACCTGAACGTTCACATTTGGAGGGATGTCCCTTTGGAAATGTATATCTGCACAGTTAGTTGACCACTGGAGCGCACCATAATTTGTATGTCTTTGCTGACTATCCATACCAGAGAAATAAGCCCCTGATTCTTTACATTTGTGATGGAAATGATGGTATAAACATCTAAAAAAACATTAAAAAAAGATAAAAGCATTAGTATGATGTTTACTGGTTCATTTTTCAAATGCTAACTTTTTTTTTTTCCCTCCCACAGATGTTTCTATCAATCATCTTTGCCGCTATCGGAGTTGCTGGCTCTGTATATGGTTTTGCCGTGTCAATTGTGGGCATGGTGAAAGGACCCACTTGTGAGTATTTAGTGAAGAATGCCACCTACCCCCAAGGCACCCCGATATGGGGACGTCCCTTTTTATACGGAGCTGGACAAATTCAGGTAAGATTTGTGGGTCGCCCTAGTCACTACTTCCCTCCTTGTCTTTGTCATACAGAATATACTTCTTCCAAATGTGGTAGAAATCATTTGAAAGCATTCCCTGTTCCCACCTAAAGGGAGATCTATTGTCGTTTTATGTTTTTTGTGGGTATGGGCAGAGAAAGCAGCCCAGGCATGCGTCAGGAGTTGGTAGAGAAGTTGCTTGGGTTGAGAGTGGGGGTTCGAGCAATTAGTTTTGGGGGTGTAGTTAACTAGAGAGCTGTAACGTCACAGGGACAGGGCATGGCTGGTTGTGACCTGGGGCTCCATTCTACTACATCTTAGGGCCACGTCTTCGGTCAGTATGATTAGGAAGGGCAAAACCCATTCTACAAATTGTTACTTCTTTATTGCTCCATATCTGACCACTTCTGGACATTTGAGAGCAAATCCAGCAAGACAACTGCAGAACAAAGGGGGCACAGGAAGTGTCCAAAAGAGTCACCAGACTCTCTGCAGATCGGGCAGCATGAATTCATATGCCCTTCCATTTAGCAGTCCTTATAGCATGTCTTCCAACTGTCCCTTGTTTGGAGGAAGTGTCCCTCTTTTAGAATCGAATACCTCTTTCTTCATCAGTTGTCCCTCTTGTCTTTTTGGCCTGATGTAAGGATTCCTATAACAAAAATTTTTTTCATTTATTAAATATATGTTTTTCATTATTTAACTCTCAAAAGTGTAGGAAACCTTTTTATCTAACCCTTAAATTATTCCATTTGTTATATGAAAAGCCAAAATAAAGGAGAGGGACTCTGATATAAGGGGGACTTTAATGGGGAAACTGATGTAAGGGGGATAGCACTGATGGGTACTCTTATGTATGGAGGTGCTCTGATGTAAGGGGGGCTCTGCTGTGATGGGGACTCCAATGTATAGAGTGACTTTGATGGGGACTCTGATTAAAGGGGGGCTCTGTTGGGTTTATTTGGAATTTCTTTGCTTTAGTTTACTGACTTTTTTCTGTTGTTCTAAATCATTCTAGTTAAAAAAAATATTCAAGCAATTGTATCTATTCATATAAAAAGCAGATTTTTTTTAATTCCACAAACATAAAATATAAGATGTGGCCCTCATACTGAAAAGTTTGGGGACCCCCGTCTTATACTGTAGCCTCGTCTTGTTTCGGGTCTCACAAATATAAAACAATCATGTCTTAAAAGGGATTGAGTCTTTACAAACAGCTAAATACAGCCATGACCATTATTATTGGGTCTATGTATAAAACTTTTATTGTGCAGATGTGACAAACATCCACATATTTAGAAAGAAAATCACCATATTTTCTCTAATATACACTATATTGGCTATATGGCTCACAGTCTCTGCTCTAATTCATCCCACAGGTGTTCTATGGGGTTGAGGTCAGGACTCTGTGCAGGCCAATCAAGTTCCTCCACCCCAAACTGGCTCCTCCATGTCTTTATGGACCTTGCTTTGTGCACTGGTGCGCAGTCATGTTGGAACAGGAAGGAGCCATCCCCAAACTCTTCCCACAAAGTTGGGAGCATGAAATTGTCCAAAATGTCTTGGTATGCGGACGTTTTAAGAGTTCCCTTCACTGGAACTAGGGGGCCAAGCCCAACCCCTGAAAAACAACCCCACACCATAATCCCCCCTCCACCAAACTCTACACTTGGCACAATGCAGTCAGGCAAGTACCGTTCTCCTGGCAACTGCCAAACCCAGAAAGGTCCATTGGATTGCCAGACAGAGAAGCGTGATTGGCCACTCCAGAGAACACGTCTCCACTGCTCTAGAGTCACGCGGCGACGTGCTTTACACCACGGCATCTGACGCTTTGCATTGCACTTAGTGATGTAAGGCTTGGATGCAGATGCTCGGCCATGGAAACCCATTCCATGAAGCTCTGTATGCACTGCTGTGCTAATCTGAAGGCCACACCAAGTTTGGAGGTCTTTAGCTATTGACTCTGCAGACAGTTGGCGACTTTTGCGCACTGTGCGCTTCAGCATGCGCTGACCCTGCTCTGTCATGTTATGTGGCCTACCACTTTGTGGTTGAGTTGCTGTTGTTTCCAGTTGCTTCCACTTTGTTATAACCCCACTAACAGCTGACCGTGGAATATTTAGCAGCCAGGAAATGTCACAGATGGACTTATTGCACAGTTGGCAACCTATCACGGGACCACGCTTGTTGTCACTGAGCTCCTGAGAGCGACCCATTCTTTCACCAATGTTTGTAGAAGCAGTCTGCATGCCTAGGGGCTTGATTTTATAAACCTGTGGCCATGGAGGTGATTCGAATACCTGAATCCAATGATTTGGAGGGCTGGCGCAATACTTTTGGCAATATAGTGTATGTAATTCCTATATCGTCAGCACCATCTAATGGCCATATGTATATATGGGAATAAAATGCATTATGGCTACCAGGTGGCACTAATGACATAGGAACTACATATATTAGAGAAAAGGCCGTGTTTTTCATTCTAAATGTGTGCATATCTATCACATGCGCACAACAAACGTTTTACACATAGATCCCTATGTCTACTGCAGATATTCAAATGATAATAGTGTATAATAAACCAGGGGTGGACTGACAACTCATGGGGCCCCCCGGGCAATAGAGGATCATGGGGCCCCTGTGTCCTTGCCCAAACTCAAAAAAGCCTATGAGAAAGGTACCAGGGGCATCTCATGGGGCCCCCTACTGACCCCGGGCCCTCGGGCAGTGTCCGAGTTTCCAAATGGTCAGTCCCACCCCTGTAATATACACATCTGGACACAAAGGAGAGCCTTGCTAGTCAAGCCTTGTTGCAATCATTGCACTGTAGTTAGTAGTTTACAGTAGACCAGGATTGGCACGTATCATAAATACTAATTTTGTTTTGTTTTTTTCTCCTCGTTTTTAGTAATGAAAGTTACCTGTTCAAACCAAGACGTGTGGAACACCTGCATCTATCCCAAGGATGTAGTGCAATTCAACGTTATCCTGTTCTCCATTGTGCTGTCCACCTCTGGGATCTCCCTCATCCTCTGCGTGATCCAGATGTTGAACGGCCTGTTCGGCTGCTGCTGCGGAACCTGTGGGGAGAAGAAATAATTGGGGAACCTATTTTCGGTTAGTATTTATTTTGGGTTAACACTGTAAAAGGTTTGCTTGCTGTGTCCTATCGTAATGGCTATAGTTCAGATGAAAAAAGTATTGCAACCCCCATTTTGTAAGACGGGGCAATCGGCATTCTTGCTGAATGTCTGCTGTGCAAAATAGATTATAGAATGAGATGGAGCGTTCTGGTTTTAGGGGCTAGCTAGGCTCTGCTATTGGATTTGCAGTGAGATATGAGGAGCAGTAAGGCTAGGTTCACATCTAACATGCACAAATCACACACTTTTCCAACACGCTGAAAAGCATGCTGCACTTTAGCGAGCACACATTCATAAAAAAAAAGTCTTGGACTTCTTTTTTTTGAGTTTTTCGCATGTAGGGTTGCCCATTGGAATACATGAGCAGTCCTGCATAGGAATGCGCAGAGACAGGGGCGCACATGCGCACACAGTAGTGAGATCCAAGCCTAAAGTACTATCACTGTGCGGTGCTTGTAGGCACAAAGCAGAGCTTGCATATATAAGAAGCCAGCATTGCGCTTTTCAGAGACTTCTATTGTTGAACTGGGTTGGGCTGACATTAAAGGCATCATAGTTTAGCCACTTGATGACCACCCAGTGGCGTCCCAAGGCAGGTGCAGGGGGTGAGCGCCGCACCTGGTGGCACCTACCGCACAGGGTGACACCAGATCAGGGGCGGACTGACCATTTGGAAACTCGGGCACTGCCCAAGGGCCTGGGGTCAGTAGGGGGCCCCATGAGATGCCCCGGTGCCTTTTCCATAGGCATTTTTTTTGAGTTTGGGCAAGGACACAGGGGCCCCATGATCCCCTATTGCCCGGGAGCCCCATGAGTTGTCAGTCCGCCCCTGCACCAGACCCGCTCCACGAAAAGGTGAGTTGTAAAGCAAGCCGACGATCCCGGCAGGATGGTTTGGATCTGTGGATTGGGGAGGATAATGGATCGGACTCCGATCCATTATGCTCAATCCGCAGATCCGAACCATCCTGCGGAGATGGCCAGCATGCAACCTATACGGGGTGACACCGGACCAGCTCCACAAAAAGGTAAGTTATAAAGAAAGCCAACGATCCCCGCAGGATGGACCCACTCAGGGGCAGACTGACCATTTGAGCACTCGGGCACTGCCCAAGGGCCCGGGGGTCAGTAGGGGGCCCCATGAGATGCCCCTGGTACCTTTCATTGGCTTTTTCATAGGCTTTTTTGGGTGTGGGCAAGGACACAGGAGCAGCATGATCCCCTTGTGCCCGGGGGCCCCATGAGTTGTCAGTCCGCCCCTGGCTAGAGGTTCCTTGAGCAAGGAACAGTGGATAAACTTCAGTTCTCATAATGCTTCCCACCCCAACCCCCCCCCCCCATTGCCTTATCGGAGCCACTATTGAAAGTACAACTCATGCGCAGATTTGCTGAAGTGCTCTGCCCGGCCTTCATGACCTGGCAGAGACCTGCGGCACATCTGCACACGAGTTTCCCCACAATGTGCAGAGAACCAAAAGAGCCGGGACATCCATGACCAGGGAAGGACTGACCATTTAGGCACTCTGGCACTGCCCGAGGGCCAAGGGTCAGTAGGGGGCCCCATGAGATGCCACTGGTACCTTTCATAGGCTTTTTTGGGTGTGGTTTGAGTGTGGGCGAGGACACAGGGGCTCTATTTGAGTGCTCAAATGGTCAGTCCGCCCCTGCCTCTAGCATTCTCAAGAAAGAACCCAGGGCTTCACAGAACCTTGGTTTGTATTACTGTCTTAGGCCGTGATTTAACAACCTGCAATTGCACTTAAGGCATGCTTACAAGTGCTTAAAGAATGCTAAAATATCCAACAATAACATCACTTTAGCAAGCCATTTTAAGGTGCCTTAAGAGCTCCTGCAGCTTGATGAATCAGGACGTGAGTCCTCATTGGGAAGCTTCCATATATTTCTTGTATTGGTGACCAAAGTCATTGGAGAGATACAGAAATCTCCCTATATTCTTGCATATATTTTAACACATTAGAAATTCATTTAGTTAGACTTATAAAATTTATATCAACTGTCTAAAAATAATTTTTTCCCTGCAGATTGACTCATCAGAAAGTTTTCTTGTACAAAGCACCAATTCCCACCATCCGCAGGACCCTTCCCACTGCAAAGGCTGGTTCCTTTGGTTATTCCAGTTGGTTCATCCCTCCCAGTTCCTTTTAATGCTTTAAGTGCACTGAAAAAAAAGAGAAATGATCTGACAAAAGTGAGACAAGATGAATGGTTGTCACCAACCTTGACTGGCTCATGTCAGCATGGATTCCATGAGATGTTCAAATACCTGTATATAATAGATTTATTTTTTGTATTTATTCCTTTATATTAATGACTTATGTGAAATAAACAGATTTCAACATTCAGGTCTTTGTCTTTTTTTTTTTTTTAATTAAAAAATTTGCATGAAAGTCAGAATCCATTCAAAAACGTTGAACCTCCAATGTGTGATTAATTGGGTAACTATACCTTTTATACCGTAGAACTTGCTTAAACTCACATATAAAAATAATCCTGTAACAAATGTGATGGAGCCTTTACAAACGGCAAATACACTGGAGACTGGAGAGTGCAAAATCTGGTGCATGGGAGCCAATCAGCTTCTAACTTCAGATTGTTCAATTAAGTTTTGGCAATAAAACCTGGAAGTCGATTGGTATCTATGTAGAGCTGCACCAGATTTTGCACTCCGTCCTGTGAGGATGTTCAGGTTACACTAGAACTGAATCAAGCCTACCCACATGGAAGAAAAATATATTTTAAAAATATTCTTCCCAAATATATTAACATATATTTGAAATGCTACCATTTTGGCCATATTCAATATATTTCAATATTTCATATATATAATATATATATATATATATATATATATATATATATACTGCATGTTGAAATGCGTTTTTATTACAAAATAGATGAAAAATATTTTTAAAAATACATTTCAAATACACTTTATGTCTTTAAAAATACAAATCTACATTTTTGGAATGCATTTACAAACATATGTAAAAATAAAAAGAAACTAAAGAATATATTTTTAAAAATTTTATTTTTTAAATATATATTTTTATAAAAAATATATATTTTTAAAATATATTCTTCAGATTTTTTTTAACATATGAAAAAGTAGTTTTAACGTATATTTTTACATATATCTGTAAATGCATTCCAAAAATGTTGATTTGTGTTTTTAAAGACAAAGTGTATTTGAAAATATATTTTTAAAAATATTTGTCATATATTTTGTAATTAAAATGCATTTTACCATGCAGTATATATATATATATATATATATATATATATATATATATATATATATATATTGAATATGGACAAAATTGTAGCATTTCAAATATATGTCAATATATTTGGGAAGCATCTTTTTAAAATATATTTCAAATATATTTTTCTTCCATATAGGCTACCAGGCCATTTCATGTGGCTCTTGCACCTCTCCTGCAGCTGCGGCATCCCCCTTGTCTCCACTCCCACCTTGTCTCAGCAGTTGGCAGCAGAGAGGAGGACAGAAAACCTAAACCAGATCCTGTGCTTCTTCATGCAGCTGCAGAGAGGCTTGTCTCCCCCCCCCCCCCCCCCCCCCACTCCCCCTCTGCTGTAGGCTCAGAAGTCAGGAGCAGAGAGGAGGAGAGAACTTATACAGATCCTGTGCCTCACTGTGCAGCTGCAGCACCCCCTCGTCTCCACCTCCCCTGGTTTCAGCATTCAGCAGACACTGGTAACTGACTCCAGCCCTCCTCTGGTCCTCCTCAAGACCCTGCACTTTCCGCTTCCCAGCTCTGCACCCAGCTTCTTCCCGGCAGCAGCACAAGGTAAGGGGGGTGCGCTTTAAAATAAGGGAGGTTGGGGGACTCTGGACTTCTGATGGTGGTGAGGCTTTTGAAATCTGATATAAGGGGGTGTGTGCTCTGGACATCTAGTAATAATGCTTATACAGCCTGCAATTACATTGCATTTTGACCCCCCCTCTGTAGACCTTGGTGTAGTACATCAGTATGGATATCAGACCACTTCTAAAACTAAAACTTTCAAAAACTCTCCTCATAATAAGTTTGCCAAGTTTTTTTCCCCTGTACCCCTCCCCTGACTTTTCTATCAAGATGAATAATACAACTATCAGCCCCCCCCCCCCTTCCCCATTGCCACGGTGCTAGTTGTACTCCTGGATTCTGCTTTGTTTTTTTTGCCCTAAATCCAATCAATATCCAAATCTAGACACACTGACCATTTCCAGAATACTCCCCTTCTTAACCAAGGACACTACCAAGATGCCAAATAATTTCCTTGACTATTGCAACTCCCTCCTCATTGGTCTACACAGGCCTTCCCCTTCATTATTCATTATGCTGCCAGACTTTTCAGTCTTACAAAACATTCAGCGTCCATCCCTCTCTGCCAATCCCTTCTCAGGGTTCCACAAGCCCAATGAATAAAATTCAAAATATTTACATATAAAACCATCTCCAATTCTGCCTCAAGCTATATCACCAACCTCGTCTCAAAATATCACCAAAAACATCCTTTTCACTCCTCCTGCTATCCAGCTCCCTTGTCACCTCCTCCCATGCTCAACTCCAGGATTTCTCCAGAGATTTCTCATCCTCTAAAACAGGGGTGCTCTACCCAAGGCCCTCGGGCCAAATGTGGCCTTCGGAGCCCTCTGATGTGACCTTCGACCTCAATGTCACAAGTTAGCTGCAGCCTCTTGTTTGTTTACTCTTACCTCCTTGCTGCTCTTGATTCTTCACATGTGTGTTTGTCTGTGCTCACCTATGGGCGTCATCTGCTATTCCCTGGGTTTTATGTCCTTCCCTTCCATCACTTCCTGTCCCGCCTCGTCTGCCTGTCTATTTAAGATGTGCTCAGACTAGGCCACATTACCTGAGCAACTTCGTGTTGTTGGAGCTCCCGTGCGGTTCTGCTGTGTATCCTGTGGTGTCTGTGTACCAACCCCAGCTTCGTTCCTGACCTTGCTAGTTTTCCGCCTGTCCTGACCTTGGCTTGCCCATTGGATTCCCTGTGTCTTCTCCCTTGCACCCTGCTCCCGCTAGCTGTCTCCTCCACCTCAGCTGGGTGTACCTGGGGGCCGCGATCTGGTCCCAGCCTGCTGCAAGTCCATCCCCACCATCAGGGGCTCTGGTGGACAAGCAGGCTGGGGCTTAGATTCCACACCCTGGGGAAACCCAGGCTGTAGTTCTATAGAGCTCACTACCATAGATGTGACAGTTTGCTCAGGCCATGAGCTCTTCGGAGACTCCGCAGCCTGTCCTGGAACAACTTCAGGCTTTGGCGCTGAGAGTCGAGGTCCAGCAGGCCTTCCAAGAACAAAACATGCACTGTCTGCAGGAACTTTCCTCCCGGTTGGATCAGCCATAGTTTTGCGTCCACTTCCTCACCCTCTGTTTCGGCCCCTGCTCCGGTTCCCTCTGCTCCACCTTCCGCTGTTCCCCCAGTGGAACACTGTCCTTCGAGACTCCAGCTGCCTCCACCTCCTCACTTCTCTGGTGATCCTAAAGCTTGTCGGGGCTTCATCAATCAGTGCTCAATTCACTTCGAGCTAGCAGCCCACCATTTTTCTACTGATCATTCCAACGTGGCGTATATGATTTCCCTCCTATCTGGTGAAGCACTGGCTTGGGCCTCGCCACTGTGGGAGCGACAAGATCCAATTATTTGTAGCCTTCCTGCAAGCTTTCCGTAAGACATTCGATGTGCCTGGCAGGACTTCATCTGCCGCTGGAGCTCTTCTTCGGCTTCGTCAAGGTAGCAGGACTGTTGGACAATATGCAGTTCTGTTTCGCACCTTATCCTCGGAACTGGCATGGAATAATGAGGCC